CTGCACATGGGGTAGTTGTTATAGTGGTTGACATTGTTCTGCACATGGGGTAGTTGTTATTGTGGTTGACATTGTTCTGCACAAGGGGTAGTTGTTATAGTAGTTGACATTGTTCTTAACATGGGGTAGTTGTTATAGTGGTTGACATTGTTCTGCACATGGTTTAGTTGTTATTGTCGTTGACATTGTTCTGCACATGGGGTAGTTGTTATTGTGGTTGACATTGTTCTGCACATGGGGTAGTTGTTATAGTGGTTGACATTGTTCTGCACATGGGGTAGTTGTTATAGTGGTTGACATTGTTCTGCACATGGGGTAGTTGTTATAGTGGTTGACATTGTTCTGCACATGGGATAGTTGTTAAAGTAGTTGACATTGTTCTGCACATGGGGTAGTTGTTATTGTGGTTGACATTGTTCTGCACATGGGGTAGTTGTTAAAGTAGTTGACATTGTTCTGCACATGAGGTAGTTGTTATAGTAGTTGACATTGTTCTGCACATGGGGTAGTTGTTAAAGTAGTTGACATTGTTCTGCACATGGGGTAGTTGTTATTGTGGTTGACATTGTTCTGCACATGGGATAGTTGTTATAGTGGTTGACATTGTTCTGCACATGGGGTAGTTGTTATTGTGGTTGACATTGTTCTGAACATGGGGTAGTTGTTATAGTGGTTGACATTGTTCTGCACATGGGGTAGTTGTTATTGTGGTTGACATTGTTCTGAACATGGGGTAGTTGTTATAGTGGTTGACATTGTTCTGCACATGGGGTAGTTGTTATTGTGGTTGACATTGTTCTGAACATGGGATAGTTGTTATTGTGGTTGACATTGTTCTGAACATGGGATAGTTGTTATTGTGGTTGACATTGTTCTGCACATGGGGTAGTTGTTATTGTGGTTGACATTGTTCTGCACATGGGGTAGTTGTTATAGTGGTTGACATTGTTCTGCACATGGGATAGTTGTTATTGTGGTTGACATTGTTCTGCACATGGGATAGTTGTTATTGTGGTTGACATTGTTCTGCACATGGGGTAGTTGTTATAGTGGTTGACATTGTTCTGCACATGGGATAGTTGTTATTGTGGTTGACATTGTTCTGAACATGGGATAGTTGTTATTGTGGTTGACATTGTTCTGCACATGGGGTAGTTGTTATAGTGGTTGACATTGTTCTGCACATGGGATAGTTGTTATTGTGGTTGACATTGTTCTGAACATGGGATAGTTGTTATTGTGGTTGACATTGTTCTGAACATGGGATAGTAATAGTATCTGAAGCTTATCTGTATTCGAGATAGTTGTAATAGTAGTTGTACTGTACAGGGGATAGTTGTGAAAGAAGACAATGACACGGTGTCGCAGTGCCGTCGCTGCCGTTGCCTTCTCTGTAATGAAGAGATGACTGGTCCGGATGTAGCGGTATCCAGTGGGCGTGGTCGTGTCTGTTTTATATGTTACATCAATCAGGTAATGATGACACGGGTGCCTCGAAACGTTCTTACAATGGCTGCGTGCGTGGCTATTTGTTGTACCCTCCCTCAGTAATGTAGTTAGACAATGCCTGGCGTTCGGCTCGGAGTCAGTATACTGTGTCTGAGTGGGGTATTCATGTTTAATTGCGGCATGGTATCTCAGTGTGCAAACACTATACAGGGATAGAACAAGTATACTGTGTCTGAGTGGGGTATTCATATTAAACTGCAGCAGAGTATCTCAGTGGGCTAGCACTATACAGGGATAGAACAAGGACTGGTCGGCTCGGAGTCAGTATACTGTGTCTGAGTGGGGTATTCGTATTTAACTGCAGCAGAGTATCTCAGTGGGCTAGCACTATAAATCGGCATCAGTCCGGACGAGTACAGGCAGCCACACACACACACACGTACATGACATCGCTATATAAGTGCAATAAGCTTGGACGCGACGTTAAACCCCATTTCACATCATTTCATCTATCTGATAAAATAAGAATCACTCTTGATTAGTTTCTGGCGAACCACGAACCACAAATCATCTTGAGGGGGTGCCATTCAAACCTTGAGAGACTTGGACGTAGCCATCTATGTCTGTACACATGTACTGAGGTACTGCAGGTTCACAGAGCTCACATTTATCCCACTTCGATTAATTAGTTCGATGCCATCAAGGGAGGAGAAATATCCAAACCTAGACCATGCCAACAGGAAACTAGTGAACGTTTATCACAATGCTTTGAATGTACAAGTAATAAAATATATTTGCAAACAAATTGAGATGTGAGTTGTATAGAACGGGTCCGCAGGAACCCTTTTTGGTTGAGGGAGGTTGAGTGAAAATAGGGAAGGTGATTGGTTGATCCAAGTCACGTGATCGGATAGGATGACTCATGCATCAACAGCGCGTCACAGGTGAGGCGGATGAAAGGTGTGTGTTTATAACACAGAAAGAATTCATAAGAAAACAAAAGTAAAGGGTTATGAATAGAGCTAAATGTATAGCGTGCTGCCTTGAATAGACAGACCGTACCCGTCAGCCCAGTTTGAATTGAGCGCTTGACAACTCACGTGGCCTCGTCGTTTAACCCGCGCTCGCTAGAGCGTGCGACCTGGTTTGATGAATACAGGGTGTGTGTTGAAAGTACATCATACCACAATAGAGACGGGTTATGTCAACACGATATACGCCGGGTAATGTAGGAATAATAATACTTGGATCAACCAATCACCTTCCCTATTTCACTCAACCTCCCTCAACCAAAAAAGGTTCCTGCGGACCCGTTCTATACTACTGATGTGAAGGCAATACATTACACACATCCGCCGATCCCCTACAGCCTTTTAGATGACCCTCAAGATAACATACACCATGGGGATTATCCATTGTCAACAGTGTTCGAAAGACCTGCCTGCTCGACCGTCCGAGACGGGTTGATTTCAACTCGGGCTGCCAGATTTTCAAATCCCCCTGCCCGACGGTCGGGTTATATTTCATATGTGACAATATTCTAAATATTTCCCGATGATAATCATTAATTCACATGTAAAGATGAATGATAAAATGTAACCAAAAAGAAATCCCGTTAGCTTATCCTGAGAAACATATGATTATAGTGGGCAGGCAGGTTTTGGTCAGGGCGTGCAATTATTTCAGCTAGCCAGTCCTGTGGTCTGGCTGAAAGTTTTGGGAGTTTCATACCCTGGCCATTGTCCAGCTGCTGGACACGTATGCATGATTGATTTCGAGAAAGATTTGCACGACGTTCCAGTCTGGGATTAATGAAAAATTCACCGTCCTGTGACTTATCTGACATGAGACTTGCTTTTTGAGAGTGGGTAAAAAGTAATGTGTTTATACAAAAAAATACATAAGTACAATATAGTACACAACTCTTCTTGCATTATTAACAGAATGCATCGGAAACACCGACTTCCACAGTTTGACATCCAATTTCCATTTGTATTATTAACAAAATGTACCTCAAACACCGACTTCCACAGTTCACTTCAACTAAATTCGGTTTATTTCGTAAGTGCGAAAGCTATTATTAGCTTGTTCTAAGTAGGCAGCAATTATTGTTCTGACGATAATGTACTACGAAGTGATATCGCTTGATAGATATAGATAGCTAGACGTTTAATTAATTTACAATCAGGTGTAGGCATAATGATATTACATTTTTGTTTGGTCGGATATTCACAATATTTCTGTGGTAAGTGATCCACGCGTAGCTTGTTACAACCGGAGCAAACTAACAAAAAAGGATACTCGTCCTCCATATACCCAGCTTAACAAACATAACATAGTCTTCTTTCACGTGTCTCCCAGTTTCAACACATCGCTGATGCGAAAAACATCTAAACCGAACAAGTTCCACTCTCAATTTATTGCCGGTCACACAGCTAAGATACAACTCTGTACCAAACGCTACCTTGAATAGAGAATAAGAGAAAGGTTCACTACCCTTTTCCAGAAGACTATGCCAATCCTGTCCATAACTACATTTCAGACGCGACATAAATTCTGACAAAATGTGTTTTTATAACATATTACTTGAGTTGAAAATTCTTCTTGTATTATTATTTGAGTGCATCGCAAACATCGATTTCCACATGTTTACATCCAATTTCCATTTGTGTTATTAACAGAATGCACCTCAAACACCGACTTCCACAGTTTGACATCCAATGTCTTCTTGTTAAACAGAATGCACCTCAAACACCGACTTCCACAGTTTGACATCCAATGACTTCTTGTGTAACAGAATGCTCCTCAAACACCGACTTCCACAGTTTTACATCCAATGTCTTCTTGTTTCACAGAGTGCACCTCAAACACCGACTTCCACAGTTGGACATCCAATGTCTTCTTGTTTTACAGAGTGCACCTCAAACACCGACTTCCACAGTTTTACATCCAATGTCTTCTTGTTTCACAGAGTGCACCTCAAACACCGACTTCCACAGTTTTACATCCAATGTCTTCTTGTTTCACAGAGTGCACCTCAAACATCGACTTCCACAGTTTTACATCCAATGTCTTCTTGTTTCACAGAGTGCACCTCAAACACCGACTTCCACAGTTTGACATCCAATGTCTTCTTGTTTAACAGAGTGCACCTCAAACACCGACTTCCACAGTTTTACATCCAATGTCTTCTTGTTTAACAGAGTGTACCTCAAACACCGACTTCCACAGTTGGACATCCAATGTCTTCTTGTTTCACAGAGTGTACCTCAAACACCGACTTCCACAGTTGGACATCCAATGTCTTCTTGTTTAACAGAGTGCACCTCAAACACCGACTTCCACAGTTTTACATCCAATGTCTTCTTGTTTCACAGAGTGTACCTCAAACACCGACTTCAACAGTTTGACATCCAATGTCTTCTTGTTTTACAGAGTGCACCTCAAACACCGACTTCCACAGTTTTACATCCAATGTCTTCTTGTTTCACAGAGTGTACATCAAACACCGACTTCCACAGTTTGACATCCAATGTCTTCTTGTTTAACAGAGTGCTCCTCGAGTCCTGACTGCTTGAACGGGGGTACCTGTGTACGAGGTGCCTGTACGTGCCCAGGGGGATACACCGGCGGGAAGTGTGGTAAGGAGAATTTCGCTGACTTTATAAATGTCTATTTCATATAAAAAGACATGGGAACTGAAGAATGTCCCTATGTTGGTTGCCTTCTACTCTGACATTAATTAACATAACGGTAGAATTACATCTATAAAAGTATTATTAATGCTAACAACATATGACAATGTATTCTCCGATGTATGTGTACTTAGCTTGTCTAGTGACCTCTCCTCACATGGCCTTCAACTATAAACGCCCTTTCGGTCTTGTCCACTGGTATAGTTTGAAACCTATTTTGACAAATATGTGAAATCAGTGTGACAGGTCGATTATTTTACAGATCAAAACGCATACGTTGTTAGTGACTGGCTGAGTGATTGAGATATTTCAAACTGTACGTCACAGCAGCAATAATACAACGCACTTTCGGTCTTTTCCACTGGTATAGTTTGAAACCATCTCTTGGCAAATATGTGAAGCCAGCGTGACAGGTCAATTATCTTACAAATTTAAACGCGTATGTTGTTAGTGACTGGCTGATTGTACGTAACAGCAGCAATAATACGACGACCTACCAAATAGAATTATCCAATGTACACGGCTTAAAACGGAGATTGAGGGAATAACTCCACCCGTCAATATTCACTGGGTCTTGTTCGCGCTCTGTTTGCAGTGTATAAAGCCTTCATTTTCAAACATACTTTGTAATTTGGGAATGAATATTGATGAAATTTCACGTACACAATGTATGTATCAGAGAGCACCCAACCGGCCCATTCTACACACAACGAAGCATTCAAATGCAGTCTAGTGTATGACATTGCGTCTCTATGTCATCAGTATTTCGATAGGTCATGCATGAGCTGGCGCATCAGGTGAGAAGAACCCCTGCTGTGGCGACTAAGTCAATTCAACGACGATGGTGGCTTTCAAGTTATTTAACACCGGGGTAGAATAGGCATTCAGCAACCCATGCTTGCCGTAAATGCGGCTATGCTTATCGTAAGAGGCGACAAAGTGGTCAGGCTCGCAGGACGTGATAACAAAGGAGTATATGGTCATGCCTGGGTTTCTGCGTTTCTGTTATTGATGTGAACATACCCGTGAAGACCCAGATGGAATAGGTCTTCAGCAACCCTTCTTGCCGTAAAAGGCGACTATACTTGTCGTAAGAGGCGACTAACGGGATTGGGTGGTCAGGGTCGCTGACTTGGTTGATGCATGTCATCGTATCCCAATTGCGTGGAACGGTGCTCATGATGTCAATCACTGGAATGTATGGTCCACACTCCATTATTTACAGACGTCGCCATATAGCTGGAATATTGCTGAATATGGCGTAAAGCAACAAACAAACAAAGAAAATGTAACGAGATCGCTGGTTTGTTTGACTTCTACTATTCACAATCTATAGAGCTTCACACAACCCTTCAAATGAAGCTTTAGCAATTTGATATCCTGCTTCGTACACATATAACTGACAAACTGTACTAATACATAATGACTGCACATATTAGAAGATAACCAGTACGAGAAAATACATGGTAGAAGTATACACAAATGAGAAGATTTTACTCCATTTGTCATTACAACAGGTACTGTAGCTCCACCAGGGGCCGTGTCTGGTGACGTGTGTTCATCTGTGCATCCTTGTGCCAACGGGGGCTCCTGCAGCCCATCATCCTCTGGGGGAGAGGGGGCGTGCTCCTGTCCCACTGGGTATGAAGGAAAGAGATGCCAAGCAGGTAGTCAGATAGAACCTTTATGTAAATAGGTGTCAAGCATGCAGTCAGATAGAACCTTTACGTAAATAGGTGTCAAGCATGCAGTCAGATAGAACCTTTACGTAAATAGGTGTCAAGCATGTAGTCAGATAGAACATTTTGTTGAAGAAATATAAAGCATGTAGTAAGATATAACCTTTATTTAAAGAAATGCCAAGCAGGTGGTCAGATTCAACCTTTATTTAAATAGGTGCCAAGCAGGTAGTCAGATATAGCCTTTATGTAAATAGGTGCCAATCAGGTAGTCATTTAGAACCTTTACTTAAATAGGTGCCAAGCAGGTAGTCATATAGAACCTATATTTAAATAGGTGCCAAGCAGGTAGTCAGACAGAACCTTTATTTAAATAGGTTCTAGTTGTGTGGACCACTTCACGGTGTTTACCGGTGTCATTGTTTACTTCCGATACAGAGCATGTCCGATTTTGTTCGATGACTGTGTGTGTAAAGACGTCAAATGAAATCTTTCTTCGCACAATACATTTTTTGGTGCGTGATTAAAAGTGGCTAAATTGGCAAGTTGCTTTATGCAAAACAGAATCGTGGACAACATTTAGCACTATTTCTCTTTCAAACCATTGTTATTTTTCCAATCATTTTCACACAATGACTTAGAATATTCAATGCCCAACATATGCATTATATTACAAAGTCGGAGGTCGGCACGGTGTCATACGACCGTAATTCTAGCACCAAGTTCAGGACTTATTATAATGTGTGCTACAGTCAGAGATCTCGCGATACCCGAGTTGTATATAACTCGTTGTCGCGTGAACGCCAAATTGAATACAACTTCAGATCGTACAACTATTTGTATGCACCAAGTTGTACCAACTAGATGTGCCGTGTAATTGTCCCTTTAGAGTCTAGCGTGTTGAAAAAGGACACTCAGTGAGTGAGTGAGTTAAGATTAATAGTCACATCGGCAATATTTCAGCCATATCGTGACTGAATCAAGTTGTACAGTAACGATACATAAACATAGACATAAATATATAAAATCTGTCGTCAATGGACAGTAAAACAACTAGAGTATCACAGCTTTAAATATAAAACTAGTAAGTAACTATAAAATTTTGACTAATCAGTACAATACATTATAAAAGTTGGCTAGAGATCACCAGCAACCAAAGTTAAGTCACCATACAAGGGACCACGGGGACTTAAGGTACATCTGCTTCATGCGTGGTACCCCAGCAGGATTTACTACATCCCTCTGGCTACTGGTGATTGTTTGAATGTTTGAGCCAAAGCATTGAAAAACAAACAAGTATTCTGCGATTAAAACCATGGAAAATGACAAATACTTTGAATGAAATAAGACTTATGTCTCCTCTCAGGGGGACAATTATTTTACGTTACTTCAACCCCCTTTGAAGGTACAGCCATTAACAATCACATTTATAATTCATTCTTCCAAATTAAAAAATATACTTTTACAACAATACATATCAAAATTTATCAATCAAGTCTATATCTTTTAAAAGTCCAACGAGAACTTACATTAAAAAGATCCTGTAGAGATGAAACCTAGAAATGGTTATCCCTTGTGCAGGCCACTCAGACAAAGTCAATCTAATGACTAGAAGGCCAGAGAGATCAGGTACATCATCTGTCCAGCATCGGCTGCAGCCAGTATCCGGTTAATTGTTTTTCGGTGGACACTCCTCTGGTTGTATGTGTAGGATATGTGACGTGACTGTCATCTGTTCTAGCCTGCAGCACACACGAGGACTGTCAGAACAAGGGCACGTGTGAAGCTCGAGGCTGCAGGTGCCCGGCGGGATACACAGGTGGAAAGTGTGGTAAGCTGGTTTATTATTTAGATATGTTCACCATTCAGCAGTTGTAAGTGGGTTACAGGTAATGAATTGATTTCCAGTATTTATTTTATAAATTAGTAAATCTATTCATAATTAAATTTCCGCTGTGTTCATTGATATTCCAGCATTCTGATTAGGTGAATTGGTCACGTGTTTTTGCATTAATTTCCCAAGGAATGTAAAAATATTAAGCTACGCGGATTCATACAGTTTGAACATCGGTTGTTCGATTCATACCTCAGTGAACCGAAACAAAAGACATAGTCAATACTTCAGTACACGCCAGCAAATCGGTTGATACATTTACTTAGATATGTAATTCTTTTCGTATTCCAGAGACTGCTTTGTCTGGAGCAGGTCACGTGATCATCTTTCCAGCGGCTGTGCTGATGTCTGTTGTTGTGCAGCTTACCCTGAGCACGTAGAGACCTACCATTCAGCCTAACTTAAAACTCTTTGCTTTTAATGTACTCCTCGTTTGCCCTGAAGGATCACACGGGCTTCTATACAAGTAGCTGTGAGTTGTCTGTTGTTGTGCAGCTTACCCTGAGCACGTAGAGACCTACCATTCAGCCCAACTTAAAACTCTTTGCTTTTAATGTACTCCTCGTTTGCCCTGAAGGATCACACGGGCTTCTATACATGTAGCTGTGAGTTGTCTGTTGTCATTGCCCTCGTTAGTCGTTAAAAGGTTTTCCATTTATGACCTCTGCCCAGGCATGTCAAGGTTTCATCTCATTTCGAAGTGTCGTTTTTGTGTTAATGTTTTCTGGTAAAAATTTTGATAGTATTTGATGTCATTAATTTTCACCGAACATGCAAGTTGTCTCTTTACAGTTGTAAGGCGCCCTTGTTCAGAAACGTATCGTCTGTCATGTATTCAAGGGTGTTATTACGCCTTGCAGGAATTCATAACTTAGACTTTTGATGGGCTTCAATCTGCCTCCCCGGCAAGGGCCAGGTGAGCTACATTGCCAACAGCTTGTATGTTTTATTATCAATGGACTCTTTCATCTTCACAAAGCTTAAGAAGTCGTTTCTTTCACAATATTCTCTTCTTTGACCTTTTCTGACACTGCGTGCTTTTCATTTGTCAATTAAGCACTTCAACAATGTTATGCATGTACTCAATTTCCCTCACGAATAAAACAAATTATCAAGAATTTGAAATTGTGTTGCATTGCATTATTTTGTGGAGTGACGGGTGAAATAGAGGAAATATGATCGTCGAATAAGTTAATCAGAATCACTGGAGCCTTTGATGTGTAATTTTCTTTTGATTCTTGATATCACGTAAAACCTATAGGTTTTTTACCTTTTTTTATTTGTTTAGCTGAATGAAACTCACGCCTTCCTCGAAGCATTCCACACCAGAATACTAACTAAACGTTACAACAGCTGATTCTAGTTGTAAAATGTATCAACACTTCTGAAGTAACAATATTATGCTGTCTACTGTTCGAATCTTTAAATCCATCTACTTACATCATCTGTGAATATACTAAGACGTCTTCACCTAAGCATCAGTGTTATAGCACCGGTTGTGAAAATGTTGTTAACGACAATGATTTGTATCGTTATCGTTGCTGTAATCAAGGATGGTGGTAGACACTATGGACAGTTTCGTTTAGTACACATTCCTAACTCTAGCTTACCTAGGACAGACTTGAGTTATGTTCATTAGTTGGGGCCCTTAGGGATATTTTGGTGCAGATTCTTGCAAAAGCACCAAATTTGGTACAGATGTTGGTTATACCATACTAATTCGATATCTGCCGGGCCCCACGAAGGGCGAGGTCCGGGGCCGCTATTTTGGCTAAAAACAAAATGGCCGCCACCATGATTGGCGGTCGATCATTGGTCAATAACTAATCGGCCTAGAATCACATGTAATACCACTCTTTAGGGGTATTTTGGGTCAGGGAATCCAATTATGATATTATTTCAATGATTCGAGGTCAAGGTCAATCACAAAGGTTTCTTAAAGGTCAACCAGGGTCAAAACCTAGTAATGGGGAGCTTAGGGGACATTTTGGATCACATTACCCTTTAAAATGAACTAAAATTTATCGAGCTGTCGATGTAACAATGCCATTTGTATTTATGGCGGGAGTTATGAAGGGCGGCCATATTGGCTAAATCCAAAATGGCCGCCATCCGGATCAGGGTCAGTCATAGGTCAAAAACTAGAAGGCCTAGATTCATATGTGATACCACTTTTTATAGGTTATTGAGGTCAGTGAATTCAATTCTGGTATTATTTCACTGGTTTAAGGGCAAGGCCACCCCTCAAGGTCACTTTTATAGGTTATTGATGGGCTTCAATCTGCCTCCCCGGCAAGGGCCAGGTGAGCTACATTGCCAACAGCTTGTATGTTTTATTATCAATGGACTCTTTCATCTTCACAAAGCTTAAGAAGTCGTTTCTTTCACAATATTCTCTTCTTTGACCTTTTCTGACACTGCGTGCTTTTCATTTGTCAATTAAGCACTTCAACAATGTTATGCATGTACTCAATTTCCCTCACGAATAAAACAAATTATCAAGAATTTGAAATTGTGTTGCATTGCATTATTTTGTAGAGTGACGGGTGAAATAGAGGAAATATGATCGTCGAATAAGTTAATCAGAATCACTGGAGCCTTTGATGTGTAATTTTCTTTTGATTCTTGATATCACGTAAAACCTATAGGTTTTTTACCTTTTTTTATTTGTTTAGCTGAATGAAACTCACGCCTTCCTCGAAGGATTCCACACCAGAATACTAACTAAACGTTACAACAGCTGATTCTAGTTGTAAAATGTATCAACACTTCTGAAGTAACAATATTATGCTGTCTACTGTTCGAATCTTTAAATCCATCTACTTACATCATCTGTGAATATACTAAGACGTCTTCACCTAAGCATCAGTGTTATAGCACCGGTTGTGAAAATGTTGTTAACGACAATGATTTGTATCGTTATCGTTGCTGTAATCAAGGATGGTGGTAGACACTATGGACAGTTTCGTTTAGTACACATTCCTAACTCTAGCTTACCTAGGACAGACTTGAGTTATGTTCATTAGTTGGGGCCCTTAGGGATATTTTGGTGCAGATTCTTGCAAAAGCACCAAATTTGGTACAGATGTTGGTTATACCATACTAATTCGATATCTGCCGGGCCCCACGAAGGGCGAGGTCCGGGGCCGCTATTTTGGCTAAAAACAAAATGGCCGCCACCATGATTGGCGGTCGATCATTGGTCAATAACTAATCGGCCTAGAATCACATGTAATACCACTCTTTAGGGGTATTTTGGGTCAGGGAATCCAATTATGATATTATTTCAATGATTCGAGGTCAAGGTCAATCACAAAGGTTTCTTAAAGGTCAACCAGGGTCAAAACCTAGTAATGGGGAGCTTAGGGGACATTTTGGATCACATTACCCTTTAAAATGAACTAAAATTTATCGAGCTGTCGATGTAACAATGCCATTTGTATTTATGGCGGGAGTTATGAAGGGCGGCCATATTGGCTAAATCCAAAATGGCCGCCATCCGGATCAGGGTCAGTCATAGGTCAAAAACTAGAAGGCCTAGATTCATATGTGATACCACTTTTTATAGGTTATTGAGGTCAGTGAATTCAATTCTGGTATTATTTCACTGGTTTAAGGGCAAGGCCACCCCTCAAGGTCACTTTTGAGGCAATTTTAGGATCATTTCCGGGTGAGATTCAGTACATGAAAACAAATCAGTCATTTTAAACGATATCCCAACCAAATTTCAAAACAAAGAATGATATAAACAACTTGTTTATTAACAACTTTTTATCAGACATTACACTAAGTTCTCAGACATTACACTATCAGAGTACATTGTATACATTTAATGGTGAGAATTAACCTATTTTTTTATCTGTCTCTTATGTTTAGTCACTTCCCTCGACATTATTATTGCAACCTCCCTCGCATTTACAAAGAGATGTGCATCGTACTCCAGCACGGTAGCATTTACATCGTCCGGCGCATGCCTTTATGCAGCCACAATGTAAAAGCATTGCACATGCATTTGACGCATCACTCAGTGTCGTCCACAGCGGATGCCATGAGTTGCCATCAGTCTTGTGCCATCCCCATTCGCTGAAGTCAGGGATATCCTGCTGTGCCAGATTGGCCTGGCTCCAGTAGAAGCATGCTTGTAGAAGTGCTCGTTTAACATGTTGTAATAGAGCGGCTTGGGTCGGTGGCAGACTTTCTAGGGATTTGGTCCCACTGGTGAATAGTGTATGCCTGGCGTCATTAACCCGAGCAGCTCCACATCCCTTGCTATACATCAAGACGGTGAATCGTTCAATGACCTTCGTGTGTGCTGACTCGAGACTGAATAGCGTAGGTTCAGCTGCCAGAGCCAATAATGTTTGGGTCAGCTCTGGACAGCTGTTCCAGGCTGCCCATGCAGTTTTCTTACCACATCCAAGGAATTGTGATGTGGTATCACATCCTGTAAGGCTGTGAAACAGTGGTAATGCCAGGGACGCAGACATACCTAGACCTGATGAGATCTGGTGGATAGGAATGTCGAGGTAGTTTTTTCCACTTCCAAATCCAACCCAGAGCTCTGAGAAACCAAGGGTGGCGAAGAATCTGAGGGTGAGGACGACGATGTCACTGTCAACGGTGCGCACAAAAGCGATTTTGTGCCCCTGTTGAGCAGCATGCATGAGATGTAATATGATTCGCGTGTCGGCCTCGGAATGGTTGCATGGCGTTAGTCCGGTGATATCGGAGTCGCTAGTGTTCGTGAGGACAGTTTCAAAGTGGGTTGTGATGAGATTTACTCCGGCCATGTCATCAGTCTTACATATCTCTCTGCTGATGAAAGAGAACAATTCCTTTTTGTTCGCAACATTTTTCAGGAAACCGCTATTCCAATCCCGCTTTGGGACTGGAGTCTTGCCATCACCAATTCTCGTTCGTGGGCCGTTTCCACGTCGCTGTTGTGTGAGACCTTTCAGGTTATTGTCCTCTGGATATGTATCCCATACAGCATCAATGCGTTGGACACTAGTACCGTTATCTTGTGACTTCAAGAACGGAATGATGTGGAATGACACATACTCATTAAACGTCTTTGCTCTTGTTGGACGAACTAGATGAATCACTGCAGCCATATCAAGGACAGCAACCGTTGCTTGTTTGACAGCATCTGCACGGCCAGTTGGTACATTGATACATTGAAGAATATCTGACTTTGTTCCAGATCTTAGTGATCCTCGATCTGCCAAGCTTGGTGGTTCTCGCTGATTTTCAAACTGAAAGAATTCCCGGATATCGGCATCGGGTCGGGACTGCAGTGACAGAAAAAGCTGTGTGACTAGGGCCATGGAAATGTGATCCAAAATATCCAATAGCTCCGCATTACAAGGTTTTGACCCTTTAATGACCTTTAATGGACCTTGGTGATTGACATTGACCTCAAATCATTGAAATAATATCAGAATCGGTTTCCTTGACCCAAAATACCCCTAAAAAGTGGTATTACATGTGATTCTAGGCCAAATAGTTATTGATATATGATCGACCGCCAATCCTAGTGGTGGCCATTTTGTTTTTAGCCAAAATGGCGGCCCCGGACCTCGCCCTTCTTGGGGCCCGGCAGAAATCGAATTAGTATGGTATAACCAAGATGTGTACCAAATTTGGTGCTTTTGCAAGAATCTGCACCAAACAGCCCCAAAATCACCCTAAGGGCCCTAACTACATGTGATCCACAAATACTGTGAAATAAAGTTATCTGAGAAAATACAACATTTTTCGATTTTCGATAAATGCTTGTTGCTCTTACAAATTCTAATATTTAGGGAAAACATATACTTCTTCCTTGTCTCATCTATCGAACTAGCCATACTCTACTATTGCTGCACAAGTTTATGGACATGTATCGAATAACCCATACTCTACTACTGCTGGACATTTATGGGATTGTATGGTACTAAACGTACTCTACTATTGCTGGACAAGTTTATGGAAATGTATTGAACTACCCATACTCTACTACTGCTGGACAAGTTTATGGAAATATATCGAACTACCAATACTCTAGTATTGCTGGACAAGTTTATGGAAATGTATTGAACTACCCATAGCCTAGTATTGCTGGACAAGTTTATGGAAATGTATCGAACTACCCATACTCTAGTATTGCTGGACAAGTTTATGGAAATGTATCGAACTACCCATGTTCTACTGTTGCTGGATAAGTTTATGGAAATGTATCGAACTACCGTACTCTAGTATTGCTGGATAAGTTTATGGAAATGTATCGAACTGCCCATACTCTAGTATTGCTGGATAAGTTTATGGAAATGTATCGAACTACCCATACTCTAGTATTGCTGGATAAGTTTAGGAAATGTATCGAACTACACGTACTCTAGTATTGCTGGACAGGCTTATGGAAATGTATCGAATTACCCGTACTCTAGTATTGCTGGACAAGTTTATGGAAATGTATCGAACTACCAATACTCTAGTATTGCTGGATAAGTTAAAGGAAATCTATCGAACTATTCATACTCTGCTATTGCTGGATAAGTTTATGGAAATGTATCGAACTACTCGTACTCTCTTATTGCTGGACAAGTTATGGAAATGTATCGAACTACCCATACTCTAGTATTGCTGGACAGGCTTATGGAAATGTATCGAACTACTCGTACTCTCTTATTGCTGGACAGGCTTATGGAAATGTATCGAACTACCCATACTCTAGTATTGCTGGATAAGTTTATGGAAATGTATCGAACTACTCGTCCTCTAGTATTGCTGGACAGGCTTATGGAAATGTATCGAACTACCCGTACTCTAGTATTGCTGGATAAGTTTATGGAAATGTATCGAACTACCGTACTCTAGTATTGCTGGATAAGTTTATGGAAATGTATCGAGCTACCCATACTCTACTGTTGCCGGATAAGTTTATGGAAATGCATCGAACTACCCATACTCTAGTATTGCTGGATAAGTTTAGGAAATGAATCGAACTACCCATACTCTAGTATTGCTGGACAGGCTTATGGAAATGTATCGAACTACTCGTACTCTCTTATTGCTGGACAGGCTTATGGAAATGTATCGAACTACCCATACTCTAGTATTGCTGGATAAGTTTATGGAAATGTATCGAACTACCCATTCTCTAGTATTGCTGGATAAGTTTAGGAAATGTATCGAACTACCCATACTCTAGTATTGCTGGACAGGATTATGGAAATGTATCGAACTACTCGTACTCTCTTATTGCTGGACAGGCTTATGGAAATGTATCGAACTACCCATACTCTAGTATTGCTGGATAAGTTTATGGAAATGTATCGAACTACTCGTCCTCTAGTATTGCTAGACAAGTTTAAGGAAATGTATCGAAATACACATACTCTAGTATTGCTGGACAGGCTTATGGAAATGTATCGAACTACCCGTACTCTAGTATTGCTGGATAAGTTTATGGAAATGTATCGAACTACCGTACTCTAGTATTGCTGGATAAGTTTATGGAAATGTATCGAG